CGATGCAATTTATTCTCTGTGAATTGTAGAAGTCGATGACCCCGTGATTCTACTGTATTATACTCTAATTAATTCGTTAAAACTGAAAGTCATTTTTCATATTCGGAAACTTTTAAACATCCGGAAACTCATATAGACAATCATGTTTGATGTTATGAGGTTGATCTATATTTGGAATTAGACTCATATGAGCTTCACTTGCTATACAGAAATTTCCCACGCAATTTGCCACCTGTTGGAATGGCAAATCTTGGTGAAAATTCGTTATTAACAGGACTGCTAAGTCCTACATCTCAAAGAAATCAAACAGCTGATTCAAAGAGAAAAAGAATTCGCCGGTGTAGAAGTGCTCCATTGGCTGAATTAGTTCCCCGTGAACTGGATGGCAAAAATGAGGCTACGACGCTTCCTCGTTCTGAATTCTTTTTGGACAAGCTACATCCCAGTTTCAAAAGAATAGCCATTTTCTTAACATTCTACTTGGTTGTTGGTACTATTTGCTTTTCCTTTGTTATGAAGCAGATCAAAGGAGAGAAAGTAAATGTAATCCTTGATGCTGTTTACTTTTGCATTGTCACAATGACTACTGTTGGATATGGAGACCTTGTGCCCAACAGTGTCGCCTCAAAACTGCTAGCCTGCGCTTTTGTGTTCTCAGGAATGGCTGTAGTTGGTCTAATGCTTAGCAAAGGCGCAGACTACATAGCAGAGAAGCAGGAAATTCTTCTTATCAAGGCTCTGCATATGCGCGAGAAACTTGGTCCGGCTGAAATTCTTAAGGAGATTGAAACTAACAAAGTACGGTACAAATGTTTTACAATGATGGCTCTTCTTATAGTGCTCATTATAGTTGGGACAATCTTCCTTTCTAAAGTTGAGAAATTGGATGTTGTTGATGCCTTTTACTGCGTCTGCTGTACCATCACAACCTTAGGATATGGAGATAAGAGCTTCTCAACCAAGGCAGGACGTGTTTTCGCTATATTTTGGATTTTGACGAGTACTCTCTGTTTGGCTCAGTTCTTTTGTTATATTGCTGAACTTAACACAGAAAGCAGGCAGAAGGATTTGGTCAAGTGGGTTCTTACCAGGAGAACGACAAATGTGGATTTAGAGGCAGCTGATCTCGAAGGGGATGGGATTGTAGGGTCAGTGATTTACAGCCCCCTTTTCCTTTTGTCTCCTATACTTACTTTACATTCTGGTTTTTATGCTTTCAGTTGAATAGTTTTACCCTAAGAAATTCTTTTCTTATATTGCTTTGCTAACAGGGCTGCTGAATTTGTCTTATATAAGCTAAAAGAGATGGGAAAAATTAATCAAGAAGATATTTTGCCTTTTATGGATGAGTTTGAAAACCTTGATTTTGATCAATCTGGAACTTTGTCAGGCTGTGACTTGAAGCTTGCACAATCAGCTCAAATGTAGAGGTAAATCTGCTGATTTTGTACACTTTAATATGCAAGTTTGTTGATAAATGAATCTCCTTCGAAACTCAATGATTATTTATACTGGAATTTACTTTAAAAATTTGAGACTACTCAAGTAGAAGAACAAGAACTTGACACAACTGTTATGTTGATCTTGCATTATTTTTCTTTTTCGAAAGGGGTTTTTTTTACGGATGAGTCGGAAAAATGGTTTTCCCAGAAGAATTATGAATGTTTGTGCTGGAAAAAATGCTTCAATTTTATTTCATTGGAGCCATATCCCATTTCCCTTGCAAGTTTATAAGTAGAATTTCCATGTATAAACATATGTTGTGAATTGTGATTGCCTTGTGAATGCTTTTCTAGTGGTATAAGTTTTTATCACAATGCTTGAGGTTCGTTTGGGAGAGGTTTTTCAAGTGAAGAAAATTATGGATTTCATATGTATAGTTGAAAATTATTTTGAGGAAAAAACAATTTTCTAAAAATCTCTCCCAAACAGTGACTAGAAATCTTTGTTTTGACTCTAAAAGCAACATTCTATTTTTCCGATTTTCTACTAAAGTACCATTAGAGCAAATGCTTCAAGCTATAGATTACAATTGTCGAAAGAACCTTATATTTTTAAAACGTTAAAATCATTTAAAACTTGTTAAAAATAAAAATGCTAATTCTTTATCTTTACATATTAAAAAGAGTTGAATAGCCAAATCGAACTCATTTATACACTCGAAATAAAACAATCAAACTTATTGATGGAAGCATCTTTTGCAACTAAATAGCTACATAAATTCCATCTATTTTAACCAATCTCGACAAAAAATTAAAAAATTAACACCTTTTTGTAAGGAATTAAAAATTGTACATTATGTTTGACATTTCAAGATATGTCGAAAATATTGTCATTGATTGTTTAAAGTGTGTTTAAAATCAATGTATAAAAAGCTCTTACATCACAACAATGTCAAACTTGATGTACATGTAGCGAAACTGTTTTGTAACATGTTGAATTAAAATCAAATTTTGGAAATGAAATTCCTAAAATGCAAGTATCATTGTCACGTGCAACTCCAAAGTATGTCATAGGGCGACAGAACTTCTCGTGTCGCTATGCAATAATTTAGAAAAAGGTCGAATGCGTATCATACTCGAGCATTTATTGTGTGTTTCTATTTGGTACCTTATTGACATTACCCAATATGCTCAAAATTAACCCATAGGGCACGATAGCTTTCCGTATCAATTGAGCACTATACAAAAGGAACGATAGGGTAAAAAAAGACGAGACATAAAAGTTAAAACAAAAATAACTTTAACAATGTAAAAAACAAATACATTGACAAACCATTTGTGCCTAAATACTATATTTTATTTTGCCTATGTTTAAACCACATTAAAAAATTTATTCTCATTTTTCTATTTATTTTTAACAACGCATTTTTTAATAAAATAATATACGTCAATAATTTTTCCTACTTTTTCAACCATACATTCTCAGCAATCTACTGTTCAAAAATACAATCTTTCAGGATAATGAGGTTCAAACTCACCTTATGATCCAAAAGCAAAATGGTCAAAAACCTTCTGCCCATTTGCAATGAGCTTTCAAACGAGATGCACTCCTGAAGAGGATTAATCCAGCATATTTTGCTCTTGTGCAAGTCAAATTTCTGGTAATTTACCCTTACTTTTCATTTTCTTACTCGTGCAAGATCTTCTTTTCATCTTTAATAGTAGTATTACTGAGCTGCACCTGCACTGGCAGTAATTAAGAGGAACCCACTCTAGATTTTTGTCCTTTTGTTTTAGTTTTACTTCACCGTCTTTGTCTGATTTATTAGCGAACTTCTGAATTTTGATTTGTTCACTTGTCCATTTATAACGTTGATCTCTTCTGTTCATATGTTATAATAATTCAGAACGTAAGTTGCGAATCATGTTAACTTTAAGTTGCTGAGTATTTTCTTCAGCAATTTTTGGACAGCCTATCTGTTTCCTCCTCTCTCGCTTCATGACCCTGTATATAAATTTTTAGTGATGTTCATGGACAGATTCCTTCCTTCCGTTCACTTTGTCAAGGCACGCTATGGCCCAATACCGAGGAGCTCCATAAACAGGCCCACAGTAAAGGCAACTTCAAACAAGGCAATACGGATCTGGGGAGTTTCATGGAGCCTCGAAAACTAATCCGAGGAGCTTGAAGTCTGAGACACTTCACAGAGTGGAGGCCCGAAGCCATGACCGTTTATGACCTGTAGCAGCAAGATGTGCACTCGAGTGAAGATCTTAAGGGAGTGATT